CTATAATCGAATTGACCCGAATAACTCCAACGATGGTGCTACCTACCTCTCAATGGTGGGATAGCACTATCTAAAGGACTCTTACACAGCCTAATTCCTTAGAGTAGGTAGATTTCTCCTGGGTACTTGCTCTTTCAAAAACAAACAAAATACTTTTCGCACCTACACTTTCAAAAGGTTTTCAAACAAATATTTCATACACTCTTGAGGACAGATACAAGAGTTACCTAGAAATTTTTCAAACGAAACTTTTTTTCAAAACCCACAAACACTTGAAAAGAAAACAATTTTTGAAAACATAGAGCAAGTACCTAAGAGCCCGTAGATAACCACGGATAGAAAGGGTGCTAACACCTTCCCTTTCTATAAATCTACCTCCCGAACCGAGAGACATCTCGAAAAAGGAATTTTGATGTGCTTTTGTCCTTTCCATATTGGAGAACATAAAAGACGATGGCGACTCTTGCTTACTGCGACATTTCACGAACCAGCATTTCAAAACAGTAAGTTCTATTTCCACCGATCACAGCCGGAAAATCATTAATTGTGCCAAACAACATCACCCTCAAATTGAAACTTTCTTTCCTATATCCATCATAAACCTCCACACCGTTCTCCCACAAAATCTTTAAATCTTCGATTAACGATTTCAAGTAGACATCTATGTCATTCCCTAGTTGTTTAGGTCCAGAAATTAACATAGATAACATCATGTACTTGTGCGTCATACATAGCCATGAAGGTAGGTTATAAATCATAATAATCACAGGCCATGTGGTATGTGAGATACTTTGAAGACCATGCGGGTTCATTCCATCAATAGATAATGCCAAACGAAAGTTTCTTGCTTCTCCTCCAAAATTAGGATAATCATTATCAATTTTCGACCATTGTGGTGAATATGCCAGATGTCGAAACTTTCCATCAATAATTCTTTCATCTACACGCCAAGTCAAGTGTCTTGCATCAATTTCACTATGAAACACGCGTCTAAATCTTGGAATTATAGGAAAATACCATAAGACTTTTGCTGGAGACAATTTTTTCTTATATCGAGATAAACCGTATTTAGGGCACTCATTTAACGATGCATATTCATTTCGAAACAAAATGCAATCATTTGGACAAGCATGTATCTTATCATAGCTCGTGCCAATAGAGCACAACATTTTTTTGGCCTCATAAGTTCGATTAGGAAGAACATTATCCTCCGGAAGCATGTCTCTCATAATGGCTAATAACTTTGTGAAACTTTTATTCGATCATCCATTGCCCGCCTTTAAGTTATACAACTTTAATACCGCAGACAGCCTTATGAATTTAATGCAACCTTTATACAACGGTTTCTCTGCAACGCTTACCAACCTCTCAAACATTTTGGGACAATCCTGAAGATCTTCTTTAAGTGCTTCTGCAATCTCTTCGACTCGATCACAATCGTATGTATCTGTGTCATGTCGTCTGAAGCATATGTCGTACTATCCCCCGGTTAAACATTCTCGTAACTTTTCTCACCATGGAATATGAAACATGTGCAACTTCAATGAATTCCACACCTCAATAAATGCGATTGCAACCCAACTGCGTCAACCCGACCCACAAAACAAAAACTTAAGCAAGGACATTTCATTCGATTGGCGTCTTCGGCGTGTTCAACAGCAAACTTAAAGAATTCAAATACCCCATTCTTGTACTCTTTGGACAATCGATTGACAGACATCTATTTTTTGTCCATGGTCTTACTATTAAGTAAGCTTAACAAAAACATTACTTAAAAAAAAGGATAGAGACTAAAAAGCTTAATACCAATTAGGCATATTCATCGAAAATAAAAATACTATAATTACTCAAGCAACTATAGCAAATTAAAAGAATAACTAAATACCTGTAGAGAAGTCAACAACTTCTGAAACCACACAGTGTAATATTCGTGGAAACGCTCATAAACTCCACTCTTCACAAGTAACCTATATAAATGATCAATTAATTTTATTATAATAAAACAAAATATAGAATAAGAATTACATTAGAATATTTATACAACATTAAACATATATGTATACACCATTAAATAATCATTAATATTCTTTTTAACATATACTTTACTGTTTTAATTTTTTTTTTTAAATATAAATATTGATTTTAAAATATGAAGGTAAAATATTAATAAACAAATTTTGTTTAATAAAGATATATTTTAATATTTTACATTGAAAATATAAATCAATCAAACAATTCATGTGACTCTATATTTATCAAATGGCTCATAAAGTGTAACTTTCATTTTTTCCCCTTCAAATTATATTCTAACTTCAAATCTAGATCTTCAAATTTTAATCCAACAATCATAATTTGTTTAATTATCTTAATTTATGTGTTAGTATGACTCTTACATTAGAGAATCCAAGTTTCCATAATTCCATTGATCCATAAATACTTTATGTAACATGTCTCTTTTCTCTAGAATTTTTATCACTATATAAACTATTTCTTTATCAATTTCTAATCACCAATTTTAATAAAACATTTCATCCTTGTGTCTCGTCCGTAACTCTTGTCTAAAAATTAACTTTTCACAATAATAATAACAATAGTAATGTATAAACATTTCAATTACAATGATTTTTTTCTCTCATTCAATACATGCAATATTCGTTGTGACATTTACACAAACACCTTTCATGCAAAACTCATTGTGACATTTTCACAAACACTTTACATGCAAAAACCACATGCCACACAAAACACGCCATAATGCAACATTATCAACACTAAATCAACCCTAAAACAACACTATCAACTAAACCAAATGCAATATTATATATCAACATTATCAAATATATCAAATATATAAAAAATCACACCTAGAGGAGAAGAGAACCTTGGTTGTGAATGGAAGAAAGGATGAAACGGTCTTGAATGGAAGAAGGATGAGAACCTTGAAGAAATGATGCAACTATTTTGTCAAGAATCAAACGAAAAATAGCGTCAAAATGGGTTTTGTTCGTAACTGTATTGTGTTATGAAAATGGGTTTTGCAAAATAACAATGTTATTGTGTTTTATGTTGGGCGCGTGTTTTATTTTTTTTATAACATGACTTTAGGCAACGCTTGTAGTAGAAAGAGCTGCTTAATCCCACCTTTAGGTAGTGCTTTAAGAAAGTGCTTCTTAATCTCCCCTTTAGGAAGCGCTTTAGCAAAGCGCTTTGTAAACCCACCCTTTAGGCAGAGCTTCTCCAAAGCGCTACAGTACCTACCCCCTTTAGCAGTGCTTTATAAATTCACATTAACCCCATTTAGACAGCGCTTTCACAAAGCGCTGCTTAAGCCCACCCTTTAGGCAACGCTTCTGAAAAGCACTTTGTAAGCCCATCCTCTAGGCAACACTTCAGGACCTACCCCCTTTAGCATCGCTTTATCAAACAATATTCACCCCCTTAGGCAGTGCTTTTTTAGAAAGCGCTATCTAAGGTATATGACAAAATTTCAGTGTTTTTAAAATGCACTTTTAGCAGCGTTTTTGATAAGAAGCGATGCCTTAGGTGTGTCGTCTAGGGGAGGTGTCATCATGTGAGAGGTCCAGCCGTCTTTATCAGCTGTTAGAGCTTATAGGGGAGTCGGTAGCGAATATGTTTCTATTAGTGGGGAGGATGAGGGGGCGTGAAGGGTGGTCAGGAGGCTGTTAGCATGGGAGAAGGAATTGCAGGATCAGTGTAGGTTGTTATTACTTGATGTTTCTTTGCAGGATAATATTCATGATGATTGGAGGTGGGTGCTCTCTGAATGTATGACCTATACTGTCAGTGATGTATACCATATGCTCAATAATAAGGCAGGTTAATAGAGAGTGCCAGTTTGGGATGATGTTTGGCATAAGCAGGTTCCTACTAAGGTTTCAATCTGCGTGTGACGATTGTTTCGTGACAGGTTGCCTACAAAGGTTAATTTGGTCAAGCGTGAAATTATTTCTCCGAAGGACCAATTATGTGTTGCTGGGTGTGGCTTGATGGAGTCAACATTTATTCATTCACTGTCAATTCTTCAGCTCACTTTGGTAGCTGGTTCGGTCTTGGATTGATATTGATGGGGTAGATCTTTTTCATCTAAAGGATCACTATATTCAGTTTATAAATTCTTTATGTGGAAATTCCACAAGACGTAAATTTTTACGCTTATTATGGCTCGCTGCTATTTCGATTTTGTGTACAGAAAGGAATAATAGGTTATGTAACTCTAAAGTTACACCTATTGCTCATATAATAGAATTACATTTCTTTTTTATTGGTGGCTAAAGAGTAAGTCCGATAGTAGGTTTATTTTTTAATTTCATTTAAAGTGGCATAATCCCTATCTTTGTTTGGATTTTCAGTAACGATATCAAAGGTGATTCTGGTTTGATGCTTTATTGTAAGCTCTTTGTTTTTTGCAAACTCTTGAGACCTATGCGATACATCTTTTGCTATATGGTAGTTGTGTTTATTAATCCATTTTTTAATTTCTTAAAAAAATGAAAAAGATAATACTAAAATACTTTATACGATTTGATATTATTGATAAATTTAATTGTAAAAAATTTATGGTAAAAAATATTATTCACAAAAAATAATAAATGATATTAAATAAAAAAACTCAATCCTTATAAAAAATAATGAAAACTAACTAATCCATACACATGAAAAATGATTTGATAAAGAAGATTTATGAAACAAAATATTATTGATATTTAGTAAGATTTGATAATCCATAAAAAAAGGAAAAATAGGAAGGGAAACTAACCGATCCATCCATAGTTTGTGAGAAAAAAGATTTGATAAAAAGAAGATTTATATAGCAAAATGTAACAAATATATAATAAGATTTGTGAGAAAAAAAGATTTGATTGATAAACTAGGTTAAGTAGTCGTTGAATATTTATTATAAATAAATAAAGAGTTAATCAGTTTTACAGTTACAATACCGACTTAACCTCTCCTTCTTGTTCACTTCAACCAAACACACAATGTGTCAGTTCAAGGTTCATGTTTCATCATCATCCCCATATTCATCTTCCAGTACTAATGTCATTTATCATGTAACTAATGTCGGTGATAATCTTACACTTGGTTCTTGTTCTCGTCCAACACACAAACGGAAAGGGCCACAACAAGCATTATTGGATTTATCTTTGTATCCCTATGAAACTAATGTTTGTCTCCACCTATCTCTAGTCTTTTGTAACTGCATACAAATTGCTCAACGAGAAACTAATGTTGGAACAAGTTCTGATTCATCAACCAGCTGTGATGATCCATGGAAGATCAAGAAGGTGCTCACAGCAAGTGATCTTGGCAATAATAGCAGGCTTTTGTTGAAGAAAGAATTGGCTAAGAGATGGGTGGTTCCTTTTGTGGACAAAGCTGAAGCTGAAAAAGATGGAGTGAAAGTTCCGGTGTTTGATGTTGACACTCAAACTCTTCGTTCTCTTGTGTTCAAGATATGGTCTTCAAACGGAAGTCACGTTTTCATCGATACGTGGATCAAGGATTTTGTAGGTAAAAGGAACTTAAAGGCTGGAGATGAGATTGGTCTTAAATGGGATCATGACAAGAACAAATTTGATTTTTCTGTTCTTCGTAGGGCTTGATAACAGCTGATATATTTTGTTAGTCTTTAAGTTTTAGGGTTTTTCATTATTTCTAAAACATCATAGAATTGTATATTTTGTTAGTCTTTAAATTTTAGGGTTTTTCGTTATTTCTAAAACATCATAGAATTGTATATTTTATTAGTCTTTAAGTTTTATGGTTTTTCATTATTTCTAAAACATCATAGAATTGTATATTTTGTTAATCTTTAAGTTTTAGAGTTTTTCATTATTTCTAAAACATCATAGAATTGTATCTTGATGTTATTATTTAGGGACTGAGTCATTATCTTTATGATTTGATGTGTGTTAAATGAATATATTATTGTTTTTGAAGTTTCTATTGGGTTTCAGTATATTTCATTATTGCATTTGCTATTATTCTCATGCATCTGGTTTTCATTTGTGTTCCAATGGAATGAGAAAACTCCTCAAATGCGTGGGAGATTGGGTGCTGGTTAGGCTTCGGCCACCCCGTCAAATGTCAGTCACTAACACACCTTGATCTTCCCTCGTTGAACTTGTAATTATTCATAATAATATAACATGAATTTTTTCACCAACTGTGAAAGTTATGCTTTTATATCTTTTGAGTTTGGTACTTGAAGCTCTCTTAGTTTATACTTTATAGTGCTTTCAACATTAGCAATCATCTAAAGAGTCTCAGAGGAATGGTTTGATTATCTAACATCTTAAGCCTTAATTGACATGTTCATTAATGGATTATGTGTTTGAGTCTTTTGTATATAATGCGGATCATTGATATATTATGGTACATATATTCGATCCACTCTTAGTAAAAAAAATAATCGCTAATTAATTTGTGTAGATGCTACACTAACACATCATTAATTGATTTTAAATTTCGAAGAAGATTGAAATTCATAACTAAAATGAAGTAACAAAAGAATAAATTTTAAATTGAAAGACTAAAAATTTAAATAAATTAAAATTGCAACTAATTAACCTAAAAATAATAAATATATTAAAATATCTTTGAAGGCTTAATTAAATTTCTTAAAATGATTGCTCCAACATTATATTTTATCACTCATTTTAAAAATATACTCATTTTTAATATATTAGAAACTAAAAATTCATTTAAAGTTAGAATATTAATTTATCAGTTTTTGATAATAAACAACATCAACGCAGGCAATAACAACGACACGACCGGTCCCGAGCAAGACTACAGAGACGGACTAACCGCCTCTTCATCAACCTGCTCGCAACCGCGCGATGCCTATTATCATCCTCCACAGGACTATGAACCCAATACATATCAGGAGATCCCCGTCCCTGCAGGTGCTGACGCCGCGACCAGAGCTCTATTCGCGGCAATCAACCAGACCAACTACATGATCTTCTCACAAGGTGAGCGACTGATGATGCTCAAGAAGACTTGTTGGACCCCCTGTTGTACCCTAAAATTTTTCCTCTCTTTTCTCAAGACTTTTCTCACCAAAGATCTCAAATGCTCAAGGGTTCTCAAGGGTTTGATCAGACAAGTCCACCTCCTAAGTGTTGAGACCACAAACTAGGGTTTTGACTGAAGTTGACTGATCATGGACTTTTGAACTAATATATAATCTAATGGTTTGAAACATAATCTCAAGGACTAAAACACAACATCTTGACCTAATTGTGGGATTCAAATCATCTCGGGATCAAAATATTGATAGTTGAATTTTTTATCAACTGATGAAAAGTCAACTGATACACAAAAAGTCAAATTTTGACTTTTTTGGTCAACATTACATTTCAAATATCAAAATTCATCAAGACATTCAAAAATATCAAATTTGATCATCAAGGATCAAGAACGTCAAGAAAGTCCACAAAAGTCAAAGTTTTCAATACTTAGAAATTTTCTAAGTGTTTTTACACTCGATAATTTCATTACTTCATGACATTCTTTCACCAAGATGCAAGATGATTCAAAAAAAACTTTCAACATGAAAATTTTAGATCTTGATGAATTCTACAATTTTTTATTAGAGGGTTGATGTCTAAAAAATGCTTAGATTTGAAAGTATGAGCCCATGAAGTCATGACATTTTTATCCAACACTTAAAGAAATTTTCAACAGGTTTTGGCCAATTTTTATCTCAACTTCTTGGCCAATTTTCATAAAGTTCCAATTTTATTTATCCAAAATGGTCAACATGAAAGTTGTAGACAATGTTTCAAGTTTTCCAAAACATCTAAGAGCATGGATTTTTCATACTTGAGTTAGGAGATTCAAAGGCATGAAGTTGGGCATCCATTCTTGAATTACAAGTCATTTTGGTGAAGAACACATAATCCAATCTGCATGATTTGCTGCATGATCTTACTTTGCAGGCCTTCTAACTTGCAAATCTCACCATAATTTAATGTTTACACAAACTTTTAAGCTATGGTCCATTTGATTTAAGCATTGTCCAAAGCATAATTCCATTAATGGCACAAAGTTAACACTTCCATTTTTGAAAAGCATGCTTTTGCAAAATGTCAATGCATTGAACTTTGTAATGGTTATGTTTGATCACAAGCAAGTTCAAAAGCATAGAGAGAATCCTCTGCATCCAATAAGTTCAGAACATGCTTGTACATGAAGCATTGAAACTATGAAAATTCATTCTACTTGGTTTTTCACTTTCAACCAAACCATAACATGGTTTGCAAATTTGATTACTTCAACCTCCCAAATATCTTGCCTATAAATAGAGAGATCAATTGCAAGAGAAAGAGGTTAGAGAAAAAAAAGGGAACAAGCACTCAAAATCCCTTTACTCTCAAAAGACCAGAATTGTCCACAAAACCTCTATTTTTGAGCTTTGAAGTCCAAATCTTTGAACCTGTCACACTTTGCAAGTTTTGTCCACTACTACAATACCCATTCGTATTTCTGCTGCTAAACCTATTGCTGATACTCGAGGAAAGGAAAAAATGATTGAGCCTGCCCGGACGGAGGCGCCCATAAAAGATATTGCAATTGAGGACCCATCTAGCCAAGATATGGAGGAGATTCTAAAAATTATCTGAAAAAGTGACTACAAGATAGTGGAACAATTGGGGAAGACACCCTCGAAGATATCCATGTTGTCTCTGCTATTGTGCTCTGATGCACATGCCTAAGCTCTGCTAAAATTCCTGAAAAATGCACATGTCCTGCAAGAAACTACTGCTGACCAATTTGAAAATTATGTAGCAAGCTTGACTACTGACAATGGTTTGGGTTTTTCAGACGCAGATTTGACTCCGGCAGGGAATACTGACAATAAAGCCCTCCACATCTCCATTGAATGCAAAGGCACCACCCTGGTGCATGTGTTAGTAGATACTGGATCCTCCCTAAATGTCTTACCTAAAGGAGCTTTGGGTAGACTAGACTGCGACGGGCTAGTGTTTAAACCCAATGATATTGTAGTAAGGGCTTTTGATGGCTTGAAAAGAATGGTCCACTGAGAGGTTGATTCCCCTATCAAGGTTGGGTCTTAAGTCTTCAACTTAACATTCTATGTAATGGATATCTGCTCGGCCTACTCTTGCCTTCTCGGACGCCCGTGGATTCATGGGGCAGGTGCGGTTACCTCCACATTACATCAAAAGCTGAAGTACCCGGTCAAAGAGAAAATTGTCACCGTCTGTGGGGAGGAAGAGTTTATGATCATTCATTTGAATTCATTCAAATATGTTGAAATTGATGGTGAATTCATTGAAACTCCTTGTCAAGAATTTGAGGTGGTCCCCCTAATGATTGTTGTTGCCAAGGCCACTCCTACCACACCAAAAGCTCCTAAAGATACACTGAGAATAACCTCTCTCAAATATGCTCGTGTTGTTGCTGAAGACAGAGGTTGCACCATTTAGGGACAACTTCCTGATATCCCATACAAGTCAGGCAAATTTGGGTTGGACTTCACCTCCAAAGCTCACAAGGAGGTTCGACGTGCTCGTGAAGGGAAACCACCTCTCCGTATTAGTAACAATGAAGTTAATGCTCTTGCAGACTATGACAGTGACGGTGAATGGGACGATTGGATTTACCCAACTTCCGATGAAGGACTCAACAACTGGAAGACCAAGGACTTCATCTCCTTCAGCCAGGAGTAATTTCCATTTCCTGTTTTTATTACTTTGAGAAATTTGTCTATAATTTGCATTTAAAACAATGAGTCTAAACCATGTGCCTTGCCTGGGGCACAATGGTCCATTTGTTAAGGGTTTTTCATTTTCATATGCCATACACTCATTAAATGAAAACATTGGACGATTTTGCATTAAAATTTTGCGGTCTTTATCTTTCTTTTACTTTACTGCATTTTCAAATAGCCATGTGACCTTACGTGCACACACACACATTTGCAGATCCACATCCACTCCGGATCTCATTGACAACAATTCTGCTATTTCCATCTATGACTTTGAAAATCCAATCTATCAAGTCAAAGACGAAGGTGAAGAAGATTGTGAGATACCTGAAGAACTCGCCTGACTCTTGATACAAGAGGAAAAGGCCATTCAACGGCACGAAGAACCAGTTGAAGTGATAAACTTTGGTACTGAGGCAGATAAGAAGGAAGTCAAGATTGACGCCAACTTGGAAGACAGTGTCAAGGGAAGATTGGTTCATATGTTACACGACTATGTTGAGGTCTTCGCTTGGTCATACGGAGATATGTCGGGGCTTGATACTGATATTGTAGTTCATTGGATACAAATGAAAGAAGGTTGTCCTCAAATCAAGAAAAAGGTTTCTCGCGTGCAACCAGATATATCTGAAAAGATCAAGGTTGAGGTAATGAAACAGTTAAATGCAGGTTTCTTGGCACTGACGTCGTATCCCCAATGGGTTGTAAATGTTGTCCCAGTACCGAAGAAATACGGAAAGGTTCGTATGTGCATAGACTACGGGGATTTAAATATGGAAAGCCGCAAAGATGATTTCCCACTACCACATATTGATGTCTTAGTTGATAAGACTGCTCAGCATAAGGTGTTCTCCTTCATGGACG